ACCGGGGGGGGCGGCTTGTTTTACAACGTCGTTGCCAAGCGACGAAAACCCAACCCCGATGGCAAAACACCGGGGGGGAGGGAGGGGGGCGGGGAGGGGTATTCTGCGGAACAGCAGTGAGGTGTGAGCAAACCTCACGTGAGTCACCGTTCCAAATCATTCCAACTATTGAGTCATACAGGGCATGGGTTTGTACAGCAAGTGTCACCAATACTTGGACGATCTCAGTCAAGACCCACTTCTACCGCTGCTGCTGCGTCGAAGCCCAATGGAGACCAAACGCCTAACAGACACCCGTATGGGATAGGAAGGCGGGGCTGCTCGATAGAGGCTACTTCAACCCATGGATCAAAAACTGAACGGGGTGCCGCTGGTAAAAATCTTGCGAACGACTGACATTCGGACGTGAAAGAACACGTACTTCGTGCAACGTTAACACCAGAGACCCGGCTATTCCCACCCTCGGGGTGAACGGTGCGGACGTCGGTCTATGACGTCAGTCTATGACGCAAGCGTTTGATGTATGGCCAGTCTTCTAACTTGTGCAAGCGCAACGTGATGACTGATGACTGTGCCGCACCGTGGAAACAGCGGACTCGGTTTTCCCAGGGTCGGTGGGAGAAGCTCGCTCGACTCGAGAGGGGCCGCAGCTGGCCGCCCCATCTGCGTGTCTTCCCTGCCGACCGAAAAGAATGTACGAGGCAGACAGATGAAGACAGTCACATAAGATAGTCAGAAAAAAACAGCCCTTAAAACAAAAAAGGCAACGAAGAGACAAGACAGGTTATGCAGGTACGTTCGACAGACAGATAGACAAGACAGGGTGGGGATATGAGAGGAAAGCACACAGTACTGAATGCGCAGCACCAACACAGAAGTAGGTATTCAAGAAGGAGTAGAGACAACAACAAAAAAACGACTTTTACTTTTTAGTCTTTGTTGAACGAGAGCTGGTGTTCCATCACAACCACTCCCAACAATCACTCCCAACAAAAGGGATGCAACCAAGACCACGCGACGGGGCGCTGGGGGGGACAAAGTCCGAAATATTTTGCCGCCGCTCGTGGGACGGGTGCAATCTGGCCGCCCACGGCTCTTCCTCCGCCTTCGATAGATATCCTATCACACCGCTCCCCTCATAACCCTGCCCCAACATGATTGGCGCAACAAATCTGGCGGGGGCTTGGCCGCACCGAGGACTGATCCCAAAACACAACCAGCCGAAGCGTGCACCTATAAAGCACGTAGCACGTCTCAAGGTTACAAGGTCAGGTGTTGTATCGTCTCTTCGTGTGCCGCGTCAAACAGAGCGGTGTTGCAAGATTTCCCACAGCAGTAGGTCAGCCGGCTAGATGGTGGTGCCATCGATTCAAAATACAACAACAGAGATCAAACACACATGCTGTCTCTCTCTCTCTCTGGATCCCAAGGCTGGACGTTTGCCTGTCCAGTCCCCTCCACAGGAACCCTGTCGGAAAAACTGCGTACCACTACTTTAGCGATCGTGTCGTGCTTCTGCGGGTTTGTTTGTCTCTTTGCGGCAGGCATTATGCCCAGGGGATGTTCGTGGCTTGGGGTAAGACATCCGATCTAGGCTGCCTTAGGCCTTGGTAGGGTCTTTCGACCCCACCGCAACCGGGTTGGCTGTGACCGGATGAATGATTCTCCGTCTCGGAGGAGAGGTGGCTAATCCGGCTGCCACCGCCTCTTCCGGGGCGGAAGAGATATATACGGCACTCCTGGTTCGTGCTAGGAAGGTGGTCGCCTCAAGCGCCGGCGACAAGTCCAGTGTGATCGATGGCCAGCGCGCCGGCACCTTGAAGCAGATGGCCTACGCACACACGCCTAATGGCTATCGTGACCATTTCTGCCCGCCGCCGCCGCCGCCGCTTTTGCATTTGTCACACGTGTGGGTCCTCCCGGCACAGGCTGAGAAGGCTGTTGTTGGCCTCGAAGGGCACCGTTGAAGACGTGAATGGCTGAGATTGCACGGTTGCTGGGAGAAGGCACCCGCCCGTCCCTGCTCCCGCGTGCCTCGGCGCCCTTTGCGTCGTCAGGCTTCCTGGGTTCCTCCTCCGACTGACTGTTAGGAGCCCAGGACGACTACGGGCGCCAAGGGCGCCGGGGCACGCGGGAGCAGGGACGGGCGGGTGCCTTCTCCCAGCAACCGCGCCATCTCAACCATTCACGTCTTCAACGGTGCCCTTCAAGCCAACGGTGCATTTTTATTGCTTGATAAATGCAAGGGGGAAATGCCCACCAAAATCACAAGGTGCGGGTGTACACGCCATCTGCTCAAAGGTGCCGGCGCGCTGGCCACCGACCACAACTCCTGCTGCCCCTTCTACGTTGCAGTTATGGGCTTCGGCTTAGTTTGTCTCAAGATGTTGTCGGTCGGTTGTTGCACGAAGCTCTCGGGGCCGTGGCCGTTTCACGTGGTTCGGTTTGTTGTTTTCCCGACTCCCAGACTTGGCTCGCGTTTATCTAGGTTTTCTACTTGAGCTGTCCAGGTTTTTCATTTTGTTCGCTGATCACACGCTGTAATTCATGTCGGCACCCGTTGTCTTCTGTGTGCGATTGGTTCAATGTCGCGTTGGGACTCGTCCCTTTTATCTAGAGATACTTCAGAAGCAGGACACTGTCGTCGTCCAACTCCTGCGCCCCCCTCCCGTCGGTAGAGCCCTTGCGGGAGTAGCCCGCTTGAAGAGTGTTCGTGTTTCATATTCCGCTTACAAGCCTGACGTCTTTTCATTGGTCAGCCGGTGAGCCCCATGCTAAAATCAAAGAAACACATAAACACACACACGAGAGAGTAGCATAGCCTTCCTCATGACGCCCCCTCACGGGAGTCCCAGATTATGGCCTTTAAAAGCATTTCGTGTTTTCCAGGGGCGGTGAGACTGAGGTCTCTTCAGTTGATTGTGTGAGACTGAGGTCTCTTCATGCTAATAAAAAATACACACACACAATCAAACCTGCGCTTCTTCTCGGCTTGCTCCTTCGCCGCCGCGTACGTGTCTGCCTTGGAACAGGTCTGCCGCTCCTCCCCAGACCGCCCCCGTCGGCGTGACCAGTGCCACCTCTCCTCCGACAGCCGAGACCGGAGCCTTCTGCGAACGGCCTAGGTACATACACGCCACGCGACGGGGAATTTGGTAAGGGGGGGGGGTACCCATGCTGTAGTCGTTAGACCATTTGGTAGGGGGAGAGGTGAGACATTTCTGGATTTGAAGACAAAAACGATGGGATGTTTTTTTGTCTTGAGGATATGTGTGTAAATTACCAACGTCGTAAATTTTACTCTGTGTATGGCTCGTCTAGTGTGCGCTGATGTTGTTCGGCATTTGATATGCCTTACTCGCACCTGTGCTTAGTCCTATCTTTTTCACTCTACACCAACAAGCAGCACCAACAGTGACAAAAAATACCACAATCAAAAGCAACCAAAATCGCCTTGAAATCAAGATCATCGTTTTTAACATCAACGGTATCAGGACGGAAAAAAATTGTCCACGGCAACAACCGGTGTTGGTTGATACACAAGCCGCTGACATGCCTGGAGGGCGCCGAGGGCCTTGCTCCTCTCTAGGGCCGCTCTGTCCGCGTCCTCACGCCGATGGGTGGCGCTCTGCACGGCACAGCACGGCACGGCACGACATCGGTGGGCACACAGGTCGAAGGAAGCGGTAAACGAAAGCAAGGGGACGCACCGTGAAGGAAGAAAGGGGGGGGGTTCCGCATAAGGAGGCGGAAAAATCGCAAGGAGTGATAGGGGGGCACACGGTCGAGGGAAGCGGTGCACGGAAACACGGGGGGGGGCACGGTGAAGGAACAAGGGGGGGGGGGGGGG